ATAGATTCAAATTAAGTTTTAAAACACTTCTCTTTATATAGATTTAAACACTTGTTAACAACTTAATTGTTGAATGTTGAACCAAATGTTTCTTTGGTATCTGTGAACATGTGGCTTAAAATGGTTATATGTATATTTATGTGCGTGTGTGTGTGTGTGTGTATGTACATTTCCAAACTGTCCAAATGTTACAATTTACTCATATCACTGCTAATAAATACTGCAAGGATATACTTGAGGAAGCTTTCTCTTCTATATAGCCAGCTGTTGCTTTTTTCTTAAAAGATGGATCAAGAGATAATAATAGTACACATGAAATTCATACCACATGTGATATGACAAATCGGGTTATGCCAGCTGCTATAATCTCATGGAAGCTTTGTGTATTTTATGAATATCTTTTAGTTAAAGTATTTGATTTCAAAGATACAATATACTTCCTCAAATATTACACACGTCAGCTGCTGAATTAACACTTAAAAGCACTTTTTATGTGATTTAAACACAAAATTTACAACTGAGTCCTCCCATATCAACTTGTATTTTCAAAGAATTATTAGTACCACTACCTAATAAAGATAACAGAAAAAGAAAGTCATGTTATTTTCATTTAGTTCAAATTACAAAAGTATATTATCTGTCCAAGAAAATCTTGAAAGATATATTGTGTAATACTATTCTAAAACATTAGCTATTTTCTAGAAGCTACACCAAACAGGTCAATTATTGTACTCACTGTAACTTCCACTATTTAATTCCAAACTTGTATCAATATTTAAGTAATGAAATTTACAGAAAATTTACGTAATTTGGCAAAGTAGAGAAATTTTTAAAGCAAACTTTTGCTGCTTCATATTCTGAAAGATTTGAAGAATGAAGTCATTACAAACATTACATGGATTTTGACAAAGCAGAAATGGTTAAAATTATTAGACTTAAGGCAATAATATGGCCCTGAATCAATACTATCAGATATTCTTAAAAGTCTAACGTTAGGTTTGTTTCAGTTGCTATATAGTCATCTTTAAAAACTAATTTTATCTTTATTTTTTAAAGTTTGTAAAAGACAAAAAAAACCTACACAAAATACTGAAGAATTTAAAATTATTAATCAGAAGGGTACTAAATTTCTGTTGATTTGTTTTGTTATTAGTAGGTTTAGTAAGTATGAGTCAAAACAAAATTATACCAGGTAAAATCACCAATTACTTTATAAATGGGGAGAATAAAGATTATTGTCCTTTGAATCAAACATTTCAGTGGTTCTTTGTGAAAACAACCCAATATAAAGTGTGATCGAAAGAGTTGATGCAGATTAAGGATTTTTGCCTGGTTAGTAATGTTAACAACACAAAAATGCTATAGGAGAGTGATCATTATTCAGTAAGTCCTTAGCGCACACATTTGTAAGAAAATTTCCTTCCCTTTATCTACACAAAGATATAACAATTATGGTTGATTATAGCACAGGATAATACTCATTTTTTATGAGTGTATGTGTATAAAATCATTAGCTTTTACCTACCTGTTACTATTATTCACCATTATTTTTTTCTCCATTTCTAGCATTGAGTTTCTTCCAGGATGGAATGCAGTGGTTACTTTTAAAGGAAGAATATAGCATCTAGAGAACAATTATTTAGGCAGAAGAAAAAAATTATTTGGTTAGAAACACCTCACTAAATAAATACTTTACAGAAGATGCTTTGAGAGATTAGGAATGGATTTATCCAGATGAAGTGAATCTTAAAAATCAATTGCAGTTCTACACTGACTCAATATTCATAGACTTGCTTAATGTTATTTTACAAATATGGACTCAGCTACTATTTACTTAGAAAGCTTTTTGATGGCTAGAGGACATACACCACAGTGTAAGTTGGAATTTTGTTCCTAAATAGTTAGGAGCACTTAAACCTACGTGTTCTTTTCAAAAAAAAATATATTGCTTTTCCTTATAAGCCCTCTTCCTAACACTTAAAAAAAAATCAGGTAATGATTAGCAAAGGTCAAAGAAAATAATTCTATATTGAGAAGTCTCCAAAAGTACTTCTCAAATATTTTTTTGGCCTCTTACAATTTCCCCAAACAAAATTAAGATACTGCTCAGAACATAGAGCTTTAATAGGGAAAAGTTTTTCAGTTACCATTTCCAGTGTATGGAAAGTAGGGAACAACATGCCAATTATCAGTATGTATAATATGAGTCCAATTGCATTAAAAATATGCACACACAAAGAGGAAAATATGGAAGGACACTTGTTCTGCCAGGTGGATGACATTATGGGTATTTAATTTTCTTCTTTTTACTATTCTAATTTTCAGAAATAGGCATGAACTACTTCAGAAACTTAAAAAAGGAACTTAAGGTAAAAGACTATATCTCACATGACTTTCAATTAGTTTAAAGTAGAAACACAAAACACCAAAGTGAGTGCCTCAATTCTAAGAAAATTTATGTATGTTTTACACATTATACAAAATACTGTAATTTTGCTCTTTGTAGATGGTCATCACTCGCATGGATCTTGTGTGGAATGTAGAAACCATAGAATAAACAAATATAACCTTTAAGAAATACATTTTAGCTAAGATTTTATTTTGTTGTATCAACTTCTATAAATCACTTTCCTAAAACACAAAGAAAACTGATTATTTTAATTCTAGAACTACTCACTGTTAGCTGCTATGATATCACAATTAACTTTGGATTATTAAAGTACTTCCTTGTACAATGTATGCCCAGAGACGCCACATCCTAGCATTTTATTCCTAAGAATTAAATGCCTACTACTTGCCAAGCTTATGCTATGTACTGGGGATGTGACAGAGAATACAATCTCTGGCCTCATGGTAGGACAGGTAATAAGCAATTACAAAACAGTGATAAGCAGTGTTAAGAGAAGAACAGGGTTGAGATGGAAGTGTGTAGCACTGTAACAGACTAACAGGTTTCAGGGAAGGCTTCCCAGAGGAACTGTGTTTAAGCTGAGATTGGAAGGCTAAGAAGGTGATAAACGGGAGAACCTGAGAGAGAAGAGCATTCAGGCAAACAAACCATTTGCAGGGAAAGTGTAATGTTTTCCAGAAACAGGAACAAGTTTATTCTAGCTGGAACACTGGGAGCAGAGTGAAGGATGTGTTATCAAGATTGTAAATCAAGACTGTGTAGACTCTCTCCTAAGAGGCCTTAATGAGTGACATGGTAAATGTGTGCTTTATAGACTACTCTGGGGCAGCATGCGTGAAGAATAGGTTACAGAGATGGAGGACCAATGCCAGAGAGACAAGACAGAAGGCTGCTGGAATACCGAACACCAAGATAGAGGCAGGAGAGGTGGAGAAGTGTAGAAAGATCAGAGAAATTTAGGGGGTTGCACCAACAGGATTTGACGAGTGATTTAGAGATGATTCAAAAGTTTGTGACTTAATATTATCATTGATATTAGAAGTATCCAATGATAATAGAAATCCAGGACCCAGGCAACTTTTTTTTTCTCCCTATGGGTGTTGGGGGATAGGGTTGATGCAGCAGAGGTGGCAAATGAGATCAATTACGGGTATACTGAATTTTAAGATGTCTTAGCTATCCCAATGAATGTTCACATTAGGCAACTGGATATAAAGTTTATGAGCTAAGAGGTTAAGAGCAAGATACGTATTTGAGAATGATAAACATACAGTTCAATGTTTGCCCAACATTAAAAAAAACGCGTGTATTTATCAACCAAAAATTGGCCTCCCTTCCACCCCCAAAATGAGAACAATTAATGTAGATAGTAAAGGAGTCCATGGGAATAAACAATGTTTTTCAGGGTAATGGTAGAGGAGAGAAGAGACCTTAAAACAGAAGTTTAGATAGTAGAGAACACCAATGTCTAAGAGACAGGCAGAGAAGGCTTCAAGAGAAGAGAACTGAAAAGTGAGTGGGTTCTCCCCTTTACTGACTTCTTATCACCTAAGTAAAAGGAATTGGATGCTTAAGGGGAAAAGATGAGCTTCTTTCAAATGTAATGTAAGCATTAGAACCTGCCTTAAAGAAAGGTATTAACCTTCATTTTTTCTGCTGTTGTTGAGACTAAGCTACAGGTATGGAGAGGAACTGGTGAGTGTACTTCAAGGCAAGTGAGAGGTGAGGTAGGTCCTCATTCACCTGTTCAACTAATTTTATACAAAGAGTTAATTAAGTTTTTTCTTTTCTTTCCTTCTTTCATTATAAAATGAAAGTAGAAAAGCAAATGGATGCTATGTGCTTTTGACTTCTGGAAGGTGAGGTCTAATTCCAATCCAGGCTCCATGTTGCAGGTTTGGTTCATAAATGCGAGAGTAATTCTATCAATTCAGTGTATTGCAGGACTCCTACAACACTTCCTTGCCCTAGAAAATACTTTGAACCAATTCTTCTTTGCTTTGGTGTAAATCCATAGTGTCAGACTCTTGGCCAGGTCCAGGACGTTTAAAAAAAAAAAAAAAGAAAATTCTGGTTTACATATGAATGAAAATACAGAATACCATAAAGCATAAGAATCAACACTAGTTCAAGTGTATTTGGGAGCTGAATCCTTATCCAGACTCCTGGCATCTTCCATCTGAAAACTTCATAGTTCAAAGAATTCTGTGTATCAAAAAGTAATAATACATAACAAGCTTTGCTATGAAAACAGTGGCAGCTGTGGGGCTGCCTTCCACAGAACTACTGTTACACAGTAATTATATATTTTTGTATGTTATGATTAATTACAGTCTCTAAGAGAAAATCCTGTGGAATATACTATGTTTCATTTGTACCTGTGCTTAATTTTTCCTGAAGTTTGATTTTAGCAGATACTGTTAAGTCAATGATCTGACCCAGAGAAAATTAAAATGACTACAATATTTTAAATATTATTATGAGGACAGTATTGTAAAGTATATGATATGCAGGATTTCCTTTTATTCTTATACTTGGCATGGTTACTAAATCAATCAAGCTATATTACAAATTAGAAGCATACAGTGCCTGGGTGTGAACTTTTTATTCTATATTCCTGTTACAGAATAAAAAAGGAGAGGGAATAATGTGTCACAAAGCTTTATGACCATTTTCATAGTTAGAAGAATTAGAAATTAAGGGAGAAACAGTAATAACATAGGAGTAAATACCTGCCAACAAATGTTCAGCAATACTATTTCCATCTGAAGTAGTCTAGAACATAATGCCTGTATTTAAAGTTAAGTAGTGCATCCAAATGGATCACTCCAGTTTAGTCAGCTGCTTTAATATTTTGTCTTATCTCAACAAAGGCAACCTGAAGCTTCTATTTTGTTCTTAAATAGGAATAAAGATAACTGGAATGACTACCATAATATTAACTAAAATTCTGATGTTTCAAACCCCTTAATTAAACTTAAGTAAACATTTAAGTGATTTCTATTACCAGCATTTAATAGCTAATAGTTATTACTCAGTTATCCATAAATGTTAATTACATCAACAACTTGCCAAATATAGAAATGTTCTAAGTTTAAGAAAATTACTACCTCAAAGGCCAGAAATCCAGCTTTGAACCCATACAAACATTTTTAAGGTTAGGACTTGACAGGTACCAAGTATGTTTAGAGGCATTAGGATTTAACTCCTTAGCAGCCATTAAAGTTCAGTACTAATATTAATGATTCCCCCAAGTGGATATTTATAGCCAATTTTCATATCTCAAGATTCATGTAAATAATCTGTGTCAATTACCTTTGAAATTACTGCCAAAAAATTAACTTTAAAAACCATCTGGATAATTCTTGCTTCCTAACTTTTAACCCTTATTCTAATCATGATCACTCATTACAAAATCCACTCACTTTCTACCTAGAATTACTTGATTATAACCATCTATCACCCCAATAAACAACCTGTCCCTAGGCTTGTGAAGTAGAGAAAACCTGAAGTAGAAGAGGTAAAAAGGCATAGAGACCTTGGGTAGTCCCTCAGCTCTGTATACTGTTTAATAGCACAGCAAAAATGAGCAATGACAGATAGTAATTGTCCTAATTAGGCCAATACAACAGCCAAAATACTTTGTAGACACTTTCTTTGGCTCTTTCTGGAGATTAACACTGTCCTGATTAAACAGCATGAGAAGAGCTTAATAGCAACTGAAGTGTTCAATGATATTTATGCAGGAATCTAAAAATCACCGCATACTAATCATAACTCAGTAACTGAGGTAGATATTAAAGTAAACTGTGAAGGCCAAGAACAGAAATGAGGAGTGTGTGAATATTTGTAAGCTAAAGACAATGCTGCCTTATATAGTTCCTAGTAAATAAAACAAAGTTTTATTACTTTCCTTCAACAAACCCAAACTTAGGCACAGGAACTCTTTATTAACAGGATAATACCATTCCTTACTATGTATCATTTATATTTGTACTTAAGTTTGAGTTATTGAAACTTGATTTTTGAAAGATACTGTTTAATCAATGATCTTACCCAGAGAAAATTACAGTGCCATAGTATTTTAGGTATATCTTAAATACTAGATTACAAGTCTGCCCTATGACATACACCAAGTATCTGAGTTATCTTCCCATTTGAGGTGAAGGGTTTATGCTGAGATGGTTTACACACCAAGAGTTGAATTTCTTAAGAGAAGATAAAATATGTAGCCATGAATAGTTCTGTGTGTGTGTGTGTTAAGTTAACCAATCTATAAAATGACTGAACTGTCCTTAGCCTCATTAGCACCATGCTCCAACTGAGCTAACTAGTTCAAACTATTAGATAAGACAGTGATAATTCAAGGAATAGGAACAAAGAAATGTCCTATTTCATCATCATAATGTTTCAGAGATGATGCAGGCTTATGATTCAAATTCCCTCCTCCTGAAAAACAACTTCTTAAATAACTCATATCACAGAAGTGCAGTAATCTGAAGTTATTGTAGTTTAAAGATTTAAGAAAATAAAAATCACTACAGTTGATGCTCACTCTGAGGAATACATAGCTATATGAAATATTGCTACATAAAAATAGAACTCAGTGAAAGATAACATTTTTAAAACAAGAAAGATGTTCATTTGGGATTCATATCAGTAGCGAGTGGCTAAATAGATAAATGCTAAAGATTTACATTCATGTACTTGAAGATTATTGCAGAGTAATTCAATTACTAAAAATCTTTGCTCAGATACCTCTCACAATTATTAAAGATGGGACGATGTATAAAACCACCAACAGTGATATTTAAACCCTAATCACTTTCAAGGTAAGATATACACAGCTATTAACACATTCCAGAAGTGGGTTCACTGACACCAAAAATGAATAAAAAAAAAAAAAAGACCTCATACAGTCTGCTGGCATTCATACCAATTAGAGGAGGTAGTAATATAAAGTGTTGGAATTTAAAATACAAAGTCAGTACTAATTGTAAACATTTAGAAAGCATGGTATATAATTCTTTAAAACATATGTAGTAAAAAAGAATTAGAATTCATATAAAGTCAGAATTAAAAAAAGCAATAACTAGAAATATTTAGTGAATTTACTCAAATGAAAGAAGTGTAAATGATACAGAACTGAAAGTATTAGAAATCTACATACAATAAAAAGTGAATATAAATTAGCCAACTCCATGGACATTTCCAGTTAAGCATTCATACAAATACATGTTCACCTTTTTCTTTTATATAGGAATAACATATACATACATGACATGATGAGTCTGGGGAAAAAAATCGGAGGTACTAAAAATAGTCTCGTTTTAAAAATGCTGTGGAATAAGTTTTAACAACATTCTACATGAATGGAAACCCCTGATTTAATTCCATGATTTTATCATGCCAGAAGCATGGCTGGTTTAAAATTTTTTAAAACAGGTATTGATATCATACATATTGGCTTATAATTATGGCATTTTGTATACACAATATCTCAGTGCAGACAAAAAACTTTTGGTATAGATTATTTGCTATTATGTTTTAAACTTTCAAAATCTTTTCAACATAAGAAAATAGCTGCGTACATTTAAGTGTTTTCTTATATATAAAACACAATCTTAAAGTAATGATGATTGGTCTTTGTGATTCCTAGTAATAAGTCCTGTCTTTCTTTTTTTTCACATAATATAAATTATATTCTTATACAGGATTGCATTAAGACCCAGTAGTTCTTAAACGATGTTACCAAATAACCCCAAGCGCAGCAAAGGTGAACAATCTTCATAGTGCACTTTCACCTCTTTAAAGTTGAAGCTGCTCCTTTTGGATATTTTTCCACTTCAATGTGAAGTAGATTACAGGATTTCATTAGTGGTTTAGTTATGTGGCTTTTTAAAAAAGAAAAAAAATGCTTTTGATTTCTTCCACAGTTCACAGTTCTCAGGTGAGACACTTAGGGAAAATCATATAGTCCAGGGATGTTAGTAGATGAAGTGTCTCTCAATGCAACTGCAATAAATAAGCATCTACATCCTTAGAAAATAAAACAAAAACATTTCATTAGCCAGTAGAGTAAATACACAAATACATGCCTCATTTTCTTCTCCCTTTTTGGTACTTGATTTGTCTAGTTTCCCTTTGTGACCTTTTGAGGGAAAAGATGTCTTACTCAAATTTTACCTGCATTTGTTTATTTGCTAAAGTGCTGATTAAAGGTTTTTGGTTCCTGTGATCAAATACCGCAGCAAGATCATTAATTCATTCATAGCGATTCCTTCAGTGTTGTAAGAAACTTTAGGCCAGCTTGATGATAGCCTTTCTGATTTCTACCCTCAAAACATTACAGCTGAGGTTGTTGTAAAAGAGGTTTTTCTCACAGCTTAAGGAACTTCATATAACTTTTCATCACTCAATATTGTTTTCAGTAATACAGTATCTTAAGGTCATGTTCACAATTAAGTTTCTCCCTTTATAAAAATTTACAATTAAAAGCAAATTTTTAAGGAAACAATTTTTCAGTATTACTACCAAGAATACATGGTGTCTCCTGAACAAGGGGATGATGTATCATGCTGTGAAAGTATTCCATTTGCTGTCAACTTTTACTTCCTTTCCCCCATTATCAAAAGAAAACAAACTACAACAAAAAACTTCTGAGAAATTGATTTCTGTTTATTAAGATTTTCATCAAGAATTCTACAGGGTAAAATTATACATAGTGTAACATCCTTGCTTGACACATAATTTTGCCTTTTTTTCCTCAATGGTATCCAAGAAGAATTTTACCGGTAAGTCCATGACAAAAATCCTCTTATTTACAATACTGTATTTTTTTAAACAAAGAATGTTTTTGTATTTCTGGCTAATGCCTAATTATGAAATGAGTATGCCCAGTAAAACAGTGAAAATATTTCTCTACAATTTTTCCTATAATTATATTTTAACTACCCAATGTTTCCTGGAGTATAAATATTAAAATCCAAACACTTGTAATGTATCTTTTCCTTTAAGAGACAAACAGATAAATAAAGAATGTCAAATTCATACTATGATTTGAAGTTTACTTTCCCAAAAAGCACGACATTAGCAAAAGCCAAGTAAATTATTAACACCCCAAAACCATTTCATTCTGTTCCTTACCTCTTGCTTTCTGAGTGTCATTGTCTGTTTTCAGATGTCTTCCTAAGCTAGATTCAGAACTTTTCCTCATATATTTTTCTCTAATTGGAACAAGGTCATTAAATGCCCTCTAGCACATTATTTCTATGTCTCTTTCTGAAACACATTCAATGGCTAATTCCTGTGTTCCCTGACAACGTCATATTCATGTTCAGAGTATCTTAAGCATATATAAATATGAAAATGACTTTGAACTTTATTAGAATAGTACTGAATTGGATATTTGAAAAAGCTCATTCACTTATGAATGCATAATACTAATATAATATTATTACTAATTTTTAATTAAGCTTACACGTAGATTTTAAGATTAAGCTGAAATAGAGATTACCTTAGCTATATTGCCAGTATATCCTGGAACCAAAGTAAGATGGTTTTCCTGTTCCCACAATCTGCTTAATTGTTGTTTTAGAATCTGAATATTTCTAGAAGAAAAGAATAAAAAATATAAATATAGCAGGATATGACTTTGGTAGTAGTAAGTATACTTAAAGTTTAAAATTTTTCAAATATTTATCAGGTGAAAATTATACCATTTGAAGTCATGCAACTCTTTAAAATAGCAAATGCCAACCATGGCAATTTAAGATTACTTGGTTGGTAAAGCCAATAAGAAAACCACTGGGCATTTGGAGCATTTGGACAGCTTGTTGGACAGCTTGTTCTTGGGTATGAAGTGGGAAAATTTTGAGATCCTAGAGAGAAAATTATGGACTTTAAGAAGACTGATGGTAGATATTTTTGGGGGGTTTCATGATAATCTGGCTCATTTGGTAGAATACTCACACATTTTCACATCAAGGCAAGTTGATCACATCAAATTATGCTAACAGTGTAGCTTTTAGAATTGTAATAATCCACACTGATTCTCAGGTTAATGTCTAGGTAGCCATTAACTTGAGAATGCCTCCATTCCTGTGCCTTAATACTTACTCCACTAAAGGCCATCTCTTTTTCTCTCCCTTACTCATAATGGCTATAAGGGTTAAACCACTCCTGTGCTTTTTCCTCCTAAAATGAAAAGTAGGCTTCTAGCAGAACAAGAGATACAGTGGGTTCCTAGTCTGTGGAATTCAACTTCCATGTGTAATTTTTACATATGAATATCATTCCCATTTAATATTTCTCTGAAAATGGAAGAGAATATTGATGATCATGATGATCATGGAATAAAAATGATCACCTTTAATCAAGCTGCTTTTCTGAAAAATATTTTAGTAGAATAAATTTATTTTTAAAGGTATACTCACCCATCATTTATAATTTCTGTTTTGGATGACAGTTCTGACCACCACCTTTTTATGACTGCTTGAAGCCAGTTTAAACCAACTATTATGTATCTGAAATGACATTTTATAACCAAATTCAAGTGTTTTCATCCAAGAAGTCTTTACAAAAGGTGATATAAAAACACATAAACTGAGGATTCCCCTTAAAAATTTTATTTTACTACTTTCACAAAACTACTTTATGTAACTTGTTTATAGATGCTTTTGTAATTGTTCTTTAGTCAATTCATACTCTTTTCCCAATTGGATTATAAGCTCCTTAAATACTGAAACCATTTTATGTCTCATAGAGCTCAATCTACCACTATGTACCCACAAGGCACAAAATCAAGGATATTTAAAGAAAAAAAATGAACTGAGATTCAGATTAGCACTTACTCTTCAAATTTGCTTTTAAGTAGGGACTTTACTAGAGGCAACAAGTCTACACAGCAGCCAAGTGAGATGTATTGTTTTTCTTCCTGTAAACTAAAATAAATACTAAGTTATAAAAATACAAACAGGCCCTAATTTATCTCTCTTTAAACCTATTTTTTTCTGAAAAATATTCTTTTTACCTATTGGTGAGCACAGGAAGGCAATCCACCACAACTCCAAGGTCTTCTATCCTGTGGGTACAAAACTGCTTAGACAGCTGATTTCCTTATTTACTTTCATATTAAAACCTTCACACTGCTTTTGAGAAATCCACTCATTCAACAAATGATCTGAGAATCTATGATGAGCCAGATGCCTGGAACACAGCAGCGAATAGAGAGATAGGGCTTGTATTTCAGAATATGTGTGAATATAGGGGGTGGAAGAAGGAAAAGACAGACAATAAACAAGTAAAATATTTTTTATTTCATAAATATTTTATAGCATATTTATAAAATATAAATATTTTATAGCAAGATGATAAATGCTATGGAGAAAAATAAACAGGAAAGAGAGAGATAGGGGGTGAAAAAATATGTATTTTTAAACAAGGTGGTCAAGGAAGGCCTCACTGAGGTAACATTTGAGAAGAGACTTGAATACACTGAGGAGGTAAGACTTAAATTTTTCACTCAAAGGTGATTCTTAAAATGTTAGCTTTCCCATACTGTATCTCTCAGTTTTATAACGAGATCTGCAATCAACTTTTTCCCTCCATCTTTTGGAGAATATGGTTCCTAAGAACCACCACCTGGTTCTCTCAGTTTTATAGATAGGAATCTTAGAGAAGCTTTGTTCAATCTGGTAATACACATGATTTTCTGTATTTTGCTAACTTAGACTGGTGATGAATGTAATTTAAAACATATCTGCTACTGAAGCTAAGCATAGGAAGCTTAAAATTTTAGACAGTGTAACAAAAAAAAGAGGTATGTCTAGATTACACAATGGAAATTACTTTAACTTACCTCACCAAATAAGCTACAAGTTCACTTACGCTTCTTTTTCTCAAGAAAGTTAAAGCTACATTCAATCTCAAATTCCTGCTGAACAAAACTTGTGCCATTGTCTCATGGTCCTGAGAAACCTGAAAGACAGTTATCTAATTTGTTAAGAAATATATTGACACACAGCATGAAACCACTTTTTTCAATTAAACTATCTGGTAGATGTATTTTAGAATTATGCAAAGGTGATTTACTGGCCCACTTAAAATAATAATGCAGTTGAGCATCATAAACAATCTGAATAAATTTAAATTTAGTACCTGGTAACTTTTTACCAAAACTTTTTCTTATTTGCTGCCATTTTCCTTTTATATCTCAGTAATTTTGGCACACCTACAAACCTAGGACTTGATTTATAATGTGGATTAAAGGAAAAAAACATATAGGCTAGTCATTACCAACTGAATAGAATGAGAAGAGAATCACAAAAATTCTCTCTGTGTCAAGTATTTATATTTATTCATTCATTTTTTTCTACATTATAAAGTAATTTTGCCTGTTGTGAAAAGTTTAAATAGCACAGAACTGTATCAAATGAAAAGTGAATACTCTCTATGAAAGCATCTAACATCACTCCTCAGAAGTGATCACAGTTAACAGACTGGTATGTATATTTTCAAACCATTTTCTAGACAAAGACAGATTAGGTAGATGTAAAACTAAAATATTACACTATCAACATTTTTTAAAACCTTGTTTTTTCACTTACATATTATGAAGATTTTTCAATGTCAAAACACAGACTTACCTTGTTTTTAAAAAGCAATTACATATTCTCCAGTCTTTATGTGTCATAATTTACTAAGATTGATTCTATAGGTTTTTCCCTATTAAAACTATGCATCAATGAACATCCTTATGTATATAAATGTGTCTTATACAAATACTTCCATAGGATTAAGCTTAGAATTGAAACAGCTAGATCAACTTTTTAAACTAACAGATTAAGATAATTCATATACCATAAAATATACTCACTTAAAATGTACAGTTCAGTCATTTTTAGTGCATTCTTGGAATTGTGCAACCATCACCATTATCAATTTTAGAGTATTTTTGTTACCCTCAAAAGAAACCCTGGGCTCTATTCTTCCCTCTCTACAGCCTCTGGCAACCATTAATCTACTGTCTGTCTCTGTAACTTTACCTAACCTAGACAGTTCATACAAAGTAAAGCATATAATATGTGGCCTTTTATAGTGTGGCTTCCTTCACACAGCATAATGTTTTCAAGGATTATACATGGTGTAACATATGTTGGTATTTTACTCCTTAATCGTCAAATGTTATTTCATTATATGGATCTATGGCATTTTGTTTATCCACACATCACTTGAAGGACATTTGGATTGTTTCCACTTTTGGCTATTATGAATGTTTTATGAACATTTGTTTATAAGTATCTGTGTGGACATGTTTTCAATTCTCTTTGGTAAATACCTAGGAGTGGATCTGTGGGACAAAAAGTTACAGATATTTGAACTCTGACAAAGTAATATGGCACTGCTTTTAGATTTAGGTTTTTATAGAAGGCACTAAATCAATCAGGAAAAAAGGTTTGAAACAACAAAAGAACAATTAATAAACCTAATAGTTAAGTGTGAAGTTGAAGGTTTGTGAAAAGTAGTTAAAATGAGAGTAAAGTAAAAAAGAGGGTCTTGAAAAAATGTCTCACTGTGGCACTAATCCAAACGTATGATTTTTTTTTTGTACACACTTGCACTCAGAATGTTTATTCCCTCAGTTCAACTGGAAAACCAACCTAGGTCCAATCTAGGCCAGATTTCTGTTATATAGTCATATATATGATTTTCTGCTTCAGGGTATGCAGTTTCCTTGATTATCTAGTTAGTGTTGTAGTGTTGGCCTCCTCCCTTGTGTAATTACATGAAAATAGGGGCACCAACCAAGCTATCTCCTCAGAGCCTACAGAATGCATTATACAGCAGGAAGCCCTAAATAAATATCTATGAATAAATTAATAAGGCAATGATTCTCTTTAACACTAAGGTTGAATTACCATCCTATTATCCAGGGCTCATGATAATTCACTATTAAATAAAATTCTCCTTGCTCACTCTTTTCTCATATATACTACATTTACTTTCTTCACTTGTAGTATCACTAATAGATCTATTACTCTAAAATTTTATTTTTACAAGTTCTTAATTTCACAACACTTCACTGGCAAATAGAATCTTCTTTTGCATCATTTCATTATGGTTTTAGTCAACAACACTTACTTTCTACCTTTCTTTATTCTTATTTACTTATAATTATCTTAAATCTGAGGCTTATTTTCATTCATCTACACACTTATGACCATTTTAATTTGACGGGTTTTTTTTCCTGCTTGAATGCCTCAGAAAATGCTTTTAAGCTGTTATGACAGATAGAAACAACACTAAATTTACCAATTCATAGTTAAAGAATCAAGGTACATTCAAGCAATATAATGTTGTATATCCACTAAAAAATTGTAGAAGTATTATTTAATTACATGGTAAAGTATCTAAATTTTACTTAATATAAAAATCAAGTTATTAAACTATGTTACAACATGAATAGAAAAGGTACATCAAAAATTTAATACTATTATTTCCAAATGTTGAGATTATGGATAATATTTTCTTTTGGTTTTATTTTCCACAACATATGCAATAGTAACTATTGTAATAGTACTATTATATTATATTATATATATGTGTATATATATATATATATTATATTATATTATATTATTATATATATATTATATTATAATAGTAACTATTATAAACTCATATATGTGTACTTATAAATTTTTATGGAACTACTTCAAATAACTTTTTTGAAAAATTTATTTTGAGGTATAATTTACATACTATAAAATTCACATGTTTAAAGTGTGTAATTCAATAATTTTTAATAAATTTATTCAGTTTGCAACCATCATCACAATCCAGTTTTAAAATATTTCCATCACCCCCAAAAAATATTCCCTTGAGCCTATTCAAAAAACTAATTTTGCCTGAGCCAAAAGAGCAGCAAACTTGCTGAACAAAGCTTCCACGGCAGTTTTGAGAACCCAACAAAATGTGCCTGGATAAGTGGCTTTGGTGGACCACTTTTAAGGCAAGATATCTTCTTTCCCCTTCCTTTAAATCTACTAGCCAACTTGCCAGTCTGGATTTTTATAGTACCTTATCAAAGCATTTCATTCTATCTCAGATATCACTAACTTAGAGAAATGTAATAAACTACTGATTCAAATTTGGTTAATCTAAAAAATTGTCTAGAAAGTTACAATCATTCAAGTAAGTCTGAATGCAATGGGCAGTGAATTATTCTGCTAATAGAAAATGGCAAAGAAAAAGCCAAGAGTATAAAGGAATAAAGTTAAGCTTAACTTACTTACCTCAGAAAAAAAACCACAACTATATTTTGATGATGGGCTTTCTGTCTGTGAAGAACCAGAATCACTGGAGTTACCCAAGTACGTTCGAGTATCATGGCGTAATTTTTCAGGCAAGTGGCCTGCACAAGCCAGTTCATTTTCTTTATTTGCCATGTCACAGCCCCCACTTTTAGGGGACTGTTTTTTTCTGTAACAAGGATTTGGAAAAGGATGATGAACTTTCTTCCTGCGATAGATCACCTTAAGTAGTTTATTAGGGCTTTTCACAGCTTGTCCAACTGTTCTGTAAAAAGAATTGATTTTCTTAAGTGAAAACCATTAAAAGTCTTTAAACAGAAAGATTTAATAAACCACATTTTGTGATAATTCAATTAGAAGTAAAAAGAATTTAAAAAACTCTTAGATTGAAGAGGAAAATAAAAGGGAATTTCAATCCATATGGGAAGCAATGAAAATGATAATAATTCATATCAAAAGAAAATGAAGAGGCATATTAACTAGATGCTTTTAAAATGAAATATTACAGGCCACCCAGGAAGTAAGAAAATTGTAACACCTTCTAGTCACCTAATCTTTTTCTAACAAAGTGACACAATAATTGTGCAAGTCTGAATATATATTTTAATATATAATAAAGCAATACTTATTTTGATTGAGCTGAAGTATGTTTAAGTAAGATAAAACAATAAGCAAACTCATAATTTAGTATAATGGTTCTCAAATTTATTTATACTCCTCAAAATTATTCAGGTCTCAAAAGAATCCTTTTCATGTTGGCAATAACTCAAACTGAGAAAATTTAATTCATTTAGAAGTATTAGACTCATTACATATTAACATAGAATATTTTACAAAAAAAAAAAGCCCAGTAGTTTTCCAAACAAAAAATACAGTGAGAAGAATGGCACTGTTTTAACATTTCTGCAGAATTTCTAATATCTGGTTTAATGGAAGACAGCTGGATTCTCGCATCTGCTTCTATATTCATTCTATTGTGATATCAAATATTTTATAGCCTCTAGAAAACTATACTTAAGGGTGAAAATGAAGAAGGTGATAATGTCTTAGTATTGTTACAAATACTGTTTTGACCTCAAAAACTCCTTGAAAGGGTTTCAAGAACCACTTCATTTTCTTTATTGTGACACTCTATAAATGTCTATAAGTTTCTCTATAAGTGACACTTCATTTTTGGTCACTTGGAGAACCAATGGTTTAGTAGAAAGTACCTTAGAGTTCAGCAGACCTGAGAACAAGGATCATTTTGACCACTTTCTGGGTATTTGATCCTGAACAAATCACAGTTCTTTAGTTTTTCTTATCAACTGCTGGAGTAATGATAACTACCTAGTAAGACTGTTGTTAAGGATTAGAGATAATACTGACATGCTTAGCACAGTGCCTGACACAAAGGAGATGTCTGACAATTAGTTAATTTATTACATAAAAGAGAACACTTATTTTTCTCCCTACTGTCACTTTTACCAGCTTTCAGTATTTGCTATTTCCCAGAAAGTTTAAAGAAGCTCTTACCTATTTACGTCAGCAGCCAACTGTTTTGGAGATTTCTTAACCTGAAAAATAAAAGTAGGTAGCTGCAGCATATTTAAATTCTTTAGTGAAGCTATATAAACTTTGTGACTGATACCAATAAATCTGATATTCAACGGTTAAGCTTTTCGGATTAAAACCTTTTCTGTTCTAATGTCAGTCTCAATCATTAGTTACAATACTGCATGCAGGTATTTTTGATAGAGAAATATATCCAACTCCCTGTTTTCCATGCCACTAGTCATGTATTATACTTAAAAGGTACTTAATAAGTAAGTTGAATTTTAATGTGGATTAAAAAAATTACATCAGTGCTATGAGCCTTGCAATAGTGAACAAAAAGCACCTCTGAGAGTTCTCCTTAAAATTAAGCTAATATATTCAAATTACATTATGTCAAACAGTATACTGGTCAAGAAAGTTTTTAGAGCTTTTAGAATATAAACAGTTCTCAATATTTATTAATTATACTTAATTCTGGGAGGTTAAGCAGAATTATGACACCCTCGTTGTTTAAAATAATTTACCAAAACTATCTACAGACCAAACAGTTTAAACTGTCTGATAGACTAAATGATTGTGTCTCCCCAAATTCCTATGTTGAAATCCTATAATGCCACCCACCAACCCAAAAGTGATGTTATTAGGAGGTAGGACCTTTGGGAGGTAATTAGGTCGAGAGGGTGGAGCCCTCATGTATAGGATTAGTGCCCTTATAAGAGAGACCCCAGAGAGCTATCTTGCCCCTTCTGCCACATGAGGATACCGCAAGAGGATGGCCATCTGTGAACCAGAAAGTGGGCCCTCACCAGATACCAAATCTGGATGGGCCTTGATCTTGGACTTCTCAGCCTTTTTAGAACTGTGAGAAATAAACCTTTGTGGGTTATAGGCCACCCAGTGTATATTCTTTTACAGCAGCCTGAACAGACTAAGCTACCATCTTATCTGTTACCTAAAAACTATGGACTTACCTCCTTCATGTTCTTATTAGTGAAATTAGAGATCCTCTTTCTAGGAAGATCAATGGAATGATCCTCAATATTATTACAAAAGTTCCGTTTTTTAGCATTGTGAGTTTCAGATGCCATAATCTCTTAAATACCTAGACAACAAAATAAAAATAATAAATAGAAAATACAAAAAGCAAAAGAGCCTGATGATTTCTTCACACACATATGAAAATATACTAACAGCTCCACACTACATAAAAGAAGCTTCGAAGTAAAGCAGAGGACATAGTTCTGATCTACACATTTTTTTCAAACCTTAAACAGAGAGGAATCACAAGATAGAGCATTCCAGAAAATTAAGTTTCCTTCTATTCTCATTCTTTAGTTGCAATGATTTATTAAAATTATTTAATTACAATAGTATGGCATGTATTTTTTCCCAGTACACATGTCAATCTCTCCATTTTCCACATTGCTATCCATATATTAAATTTAAGTTTACAGTTTATGAAATTAGGTCTATATAGTAGTGATATTTGTGACATCCAAATGTATAGAAACATACAATTTGGAATCAAAACGCTGGGTCAAATACAATGACAAGCAGCTAGAGGAACCAAAATTAGACTAGATATATAGATACATAGATATATATCTGTTGTTTTATGCCTGATCCTTCCATTTTTCTTTCATTCTTACAGCTAGCTCTACAAATCTTCCCTCTGCCTTTGAAAAAATAGTCCACTCTCTCCTATTCAGGCTATGGCTTCCTTTATATAACAGAGGAAAATCAGTGATTTCCCTATTTGCACTCAGGTTTTATATAAGAAGTTTAGTTCAGATCATGTTATGAATGCCAAGTTACTCCCTCATTTGTTCTTTAAACATTTACTCAATGTTCACTATATGCCAGGCCCTTGAGTTAATGTAGATGATGGATAGAGATCTAGTTCTAATTAGAGAGATTTCTGAAAACATGTCTTTCTGGGCCAAAGTTTCAAATTGTAACTCAGTAGTTCTCAGGAGTGAAGCCCAAAGCAATTATATTTTTAAAAAGCTCCCTAAGTATTTTTGATGCATTATCCTAGCAGAAAATCTGTCTTAGAGAATTTTCCAAAAATATGTACAAACATGAAATTTTTGCAAATAATTTCAGGGTATTCTAAGACTTCCTGCTCCTAATCCACAGAAAGCCCTCCCACCAAAGTTAAGAAACCTGTAGAATGAAACTGTTTAAAAAGTAAGTAAATATAAGGATAGATGCACTGGACAGAAAATAAGTAAGGATACAGAGGCACTGAATAACACACTAGAACAGATGGACCTAATACACATCTATAGAACTCTACACCCAAAAGCAACAGGATACACATTCTCCTCAAGTGCACATGGAACATTCTAAAGAATAGACCACATACTAGGCCACAAGAAGAGCCTCACTAAATTCAAGGAGACTGAAATTCTACCAACCAATTTCTCAGACCACAAAGGTATAAAACTAGAAATAAATTCTACAAAGAAAACAAAAAGGCTCACAAACACATGGAGGCTTAACAACATGATTCTAAATAATCAATGGATCAATGAACAAATCAAAATAGAGATCAAGGAATATATATAGAAACAAATGACAACAACAACACAAAGCCCCAACTTCTGTGGGATGCAGCGAAAGCAGTCTTAAGAGGAAAGTATATAGCAATCCAGGCACACTTGAAGAAGGAAGAACAATCCCAAATGAATAGTCTAACATCACAATTATTAAAACTGGAAAAAGAAGAACAAATGAGGCCTAAAGTCAGCAGAAGGAGGGACATAATAAAGATCAGAGAAGAAATAAACAAAATTGAGAAGAATAAAACAATAGCAAAAATCAACGAAACCAAGAGCTGGTTCTTTGAGAAAATAAACAAAATAGATAAGCCTCTAGCCCAACTTATTAAGAGAAAAAGAGAGTCAACACAAATCAACATAATCAGAAATGAGAATGGAAAAATCACGACAGACTCCACAGAAATACAAAGAATTATTAAAGACTACTATGAAAACCTATATGCCAACAAGCTGGAAAACCTAGAAGAAATGGACAACTTCCTAGAAAAATACAACCTCCCAAGACTGACCAAGGAAGAAACACAAAAGTTAAACAAACCAATTACAAGCAAAGAAATTGAAACAGTAATCAAAAAACTACCCAAGAACAAAACCCCGGGGCCGGACGGATTTACCTCGGAATTTTATCAGACACACAGAGAAGACATAATACCCATTCTCCTTAAAGTGTTCCACAAAATAGAAGAAGAGGGAATACTCCCAAACTCATTCTATGAAGCCAACATCACCCTAATACCAAAACCAGGCAAAGACCCCACCAAAAAAGAAAATTACAGACCAATATCCCTGATGAATGTAGATGCAAAAATACTCAATAAAATATTAGCAAACAGAATTCAACAGTATATCAAAAGGATCATACACCATGACCAAGTGGGGTTCATCCCAGGGATGCAAGGATGGTACAACATTCGAAAATCCATCAACATCATCCACCACATCAACAAAAAGAAAGACAAAAACCACATGATCATCTCCATAGATGCTGAAAAAGCATTTGACAAAATTCAACATCCATTCATGATAAAAACTCTCAGCAAAATGGGAATAGAGGGCAAGTACCTCAACATAATAAAGGCCAT